AAGTTTTAGGTCGGTTTAGTTGCGAAAATGCAGAAAGATAACAAGGAATTAGTGATCGGTGGTACTCTTCAACAGAAAATTTCGAGCTGTCTCAATGTCTTGGACCGATTATTGAACCAAGAGGAACCAATAGTATCCTCAATGGTAGTGGCAGAAAAACGCGATAAGAGAATCGGGGGTGAAAATCCTCTCGACGTCGTTGCAACTCTTTTAGGTATCAAAGACATGAAAACAATTAGTCAACAATCAACTCTATCCGAACTTGGAATGGACTCAATGATGGTAAACGAAATTTTGCAAACATTGGAAAAAGAATTCGAGATTTTTATCACACCAAAAGAACTCCGAAATTTAACAATTGCAAAACTGAGCGAATTAGGAAACGAAAAATCAACAACAATAAAACAAGACCAAAAAACAAATCAAAATCTAGAACAAATGCTTCCAGAAAACACAACTGATCCTATAATTAAATTACCAAGTCTAGTAAAACCAAGTGAGAAAGCCGTCAAAATTTTTGTTCTACCTGGCATTGAAGGGGCCTTGAAACTACTAGAACCCCTAACCAAAAATTTGAATGCCCATGTTTTGGGTTTGCAATACATTGTGCAAAATTGTGACACAATTCGAAAAATAGCACTGGAATTACTACCGGTACCAATTTTTTCAATCAATTAATTTTAATTATAATTAATTTTTCAAGGTAATTGAAACGAATTTAGAAGGTAACAAACAATTCTGTTTGCTTGGATACTCATTTGGTGCAGTTATTGCACTCGAATTAGGACTCTTACTCGAAGAAAAAAACTATTCTGGTTCAATTATCTCAATCGATGGMTCTCCTCATTACATCGCTAAAATTTTCCTTCAAAAAATCTCTCAAGAAACTACGCGTGAAATTGGAGTTTTGTGTCATGTTTTATCGCACATTTTACCCCCCACTCTTATCGAGCAACATAAAGTATGTAACACTTGCGTTCATCTCATTTTACAAAACTCAATCTTCTAGGAAAAACTCTCAAAATGCAAAAATTTGGATGAAAAAATTGTCACCGCTTTATCACTAATACCACCCGAATCGGCCCTTTACCAAAAACTAGACAAAGAAAATATCAGAAAACTGTACGATAGATGTGAAGCAATCGCAAATTACTCCTCCACTGAAAAAAAACTCAAATCAAGTGTGAAACTCTACAGAGCTGAAATCCCAATCATTGATATTGAACCCGATTACAAATTACAAAATTTATGCGAAGAAAAAGTCGAGATTGTGACGATTCAAGGCGACCATAGCTCAATTTTGGCACAACCAGAACTTTTCCAAGACATTAATCAATTGATCAAATTGTAATGTTGAAATAAAACGATCAAAATAAGTCTCAGTTGTGTTTGTCAATCCTGAAACCCCCAARATTGGTACCAGTTTCTAGTACCAAAATATTGATATTTAGTGGTTAATTGYTACCAAAAATTGCCAAAACAGCAAGTAACAAGCTTGAATTTTGGTACTATTATCTAAAATTTTGAAAAATGTAGTACTCCTATAAATGCATTGGTACAAATCAAAAATTGCTAGAAGTGAGTGGAACCACAATTTAGAATTCTAGTTGGAAAGTTCCACATATTATAAATATTATTGRGGTACCAACTGCGGAAAAATTAATGCTGATCGTGGGAACAAAATTTGATTTACGTCATAGACTAGAYACATTGTTGTTTATCTTGTTTTTGCATTTATTACAATTGCAGATTTTTGAATAAAAAACGCACTTTGCTTTAGTAACTATCCTGAAAATTGTCAAAACAAGTTTAGTTTCATTGTTTGAAATCAAATGAATAAACACAAAAGAATTAAAAAGGCCATTTGATTCTATATATAAGCCCAAGTCAAAGTTCCGTGCAATGTGACAATGCAAGACGAAAACTTCCATTTCGGTCGATGGTTATCGACGCCGCCTGCGGGCGAAGAAGTTGTCATTACGGGAATTTCGGGACAATTCCCCAAATCCCGAAACGTGAAACAATTCCGGGACAATTTAGTCAACAAAAAATCAATGCTTTCCAAAGTTGAAGAACGCTGGGTTGAGAAACACACCGAACTTCCGCCAACTGCTGGCTTCCTTCCCGACATCACAAAACTCGATTTGGGATTTTTCGGGATCCATTGGAGACAATCCCAGAATATGGATCCCACGCTGAGGGGGTTCCTCGAGGTTAGTTTGGAGGCGATCCTGGATGCGGGATTGCATCCCGACGAATTGAAAGGAACCAAAACCGGGGTTTTTGTGGGGTACTCATGGTCGGACGTGGTATGGGCATCTTTGAAGAGTATCGACCAACCACAAACTTTCGGAGTTACAGGGTAATTTCACATTTTTAATTATTTTTTCTTACTTATTTTACCAGTTGCGAGCGTTCGTTTATCCCACGAAGAGTTAGTTATTTTTTGAAACTCAAAGGACCAAGTTATGTTGTCGATACTGCTTGTAGTAGCTCACTCAGTGCCCTAGATCATGCCTTCAAGGCTATAAGAAGTGGGCAATGCGATAATGCCCTAGTTGGTGGCTGCAATTTAACAATGAAACTAAGGACAACTCTACAATTTGCACGGTACTATTCCCAAATTCTAGTTCCATTAAATTATAATTAATTTCAAGTTTTGGCGTTTTGAGTAAAGAAGGACGTTGCAAAGTGTTTGATCAAGATGCTGATGGTTATGTTCGGAGTGAAACAATTGCTTGTGTTTTTCTACAAAAGGCGAAAAKTGCCCGACGAATTTATGCCAAAGTAAGTWGTGACTAGTACCAAACTAGTACTAATTTTTCTTCAAGATCATACATTCGAAATCGAACCATGATGGGTTCAAAAACGAAGGAATTTTCTTRCCTTCGTCTGAAATGCAGAGCAAACTACTCAAAGAAATGTACCATGAGAGTACCATTGACCCGTCGCGTCTGACCTATATGGAATTTCARGGTACCGGTACCAAAGTGGGTGATTTAGAAGAGGTCCAAGCTGTGGATAATGCCATTTGTACCAAACGCAAAAAACCATTGTATATAGGAGGTGTCAAATCTAATATAGGTCACGCAGAACCGGCTTCAGGTATAGCAGGCCTCATTAAAGTACTAATAGAAATGGAGGAAGAAATTCTCATTCCCAACATTAACTTAAAAAAAATTAAAACCGGAATGGTTCCATTAGAAGAAGGAAGAATGAAAGTTGTAACAGAAGTAACACCGTTTCAAAGTCATGATACCATAATGAGTGTCAGTAATTTTGGTTTTGGTGGTACCAACTGTCACGTCATTCTTGAAAGAGTGTCAGAACSAAAAACACGTTTCGAAGATAACATCCCACGCTTGGTTTGTGTGAGTGGTAGAACTGAAGAAAGTGTGAAGACAATTCTAGACAATTTGGTACCACTCAACTGTGAATTTGTCGGGTTATTGCACCAAATTTTCAAAAAACACTTTACGAACCATTTGTTTCGTGGGTACTCAATTGTGACCAAAAATGGTACCCTTGCTACTTCAATTGGAGAAAATTTAAATCAATCGATGTTTTATGTCAATTTTGGGTGTTTTGACAAGTTGTACCAACCCGTGGGGCAGTATTTTTTACAATTCCCTGGTTTTCAAAATTCAATGCATCGGTAAGTTGGTACTTGGAATGAACAATTTRAGTGATTRGACTTTTTTTCAGAATTAATATAATTTTGAGTGATTATAATTTGAACATCATTGAAATAATTCAAAAACAAAACAGAAAAACCGGTGAAGGGGTCTTAGGGGGCGTCGCAGTTCAAATKGGAGTTGTTGAGACTCTAAAAGAAGTAGGTCTTGACCCAATTATGACCTTCACTGATTTAACAGGAAAACAAACTTGTGACTATTTCGACCAAAATTTAACACTTAAAGAAGTGATTCTTCAAACACTTAATTCCAATGTTTCAAATTCAGTTCTCTCGAATCCGAAAAAGGCCAGACATCAAGGAAAACCCCCAAAATTTGAAAATTTAAACACACTTTCGCGAAATTCCATCATTTTGAATCTGTCTAATTCAAACGAGACGTTTAATTTTTTGCAAATTTTGGGCAAATTYTTCAACCAAGGACACAACCTTCAACTCGATAAATTGTACCCAGAAGTGGTGTTTCCAGTTGGTCGAAATACACCCATGATTGCACCATTGATCAAATGGAATCATACCAAGAGTTGGAAGGTTGACTTATTTGCACAATCTGATGAAATTGGAAATATGGACTATGATGTGAGATTAGCTGATGAGAATCTTTATCTAGCAGGCCATGTAATCGATGGGCGAAATTTATTCCCAGCAACTGGATATTTAAATATAGTTTGGGAATTGATCGCAAAAGAGAGAAATACTTTCCCGATTTATCTCCCGATTGTTTTCGAAAATTGCAAATTTGTGAGGGCCACAACAATACCCAAAAATGGGTTTATCCCATTTTCGGTTTCATTGCAAAAAAGTGGAGTTTTTGAAATTACCGAAAATGCGAATCTTGTGGTCACAGGACGAGTTTACACTCCTCCTGTGATAAGTTTCACCAATTTACCAGAATTGAAATTGAGGAATGATTCAAAAGAAATTTTGGATGAATCTGATGTTTATAAAGAGTTGCATTTGCGTGGTTATAATTACACAGGATTGTTCAAAGGAATTGTTAAATGTAATGTCGATGGTTCTGCTGGGTTGGTTCGATGGGAGAATAATTGGGTCAGTTTTATGGATAAAATGCTTCAAATGAAGTTACTTGATTTGGATTCGAGACTTTTATTCGTTCCAATTGGAGTCGATCGAATTTCAATTGATCCAATCAAACATTTGCAAAATGTTACTGATGAGGAAACTCTTCTCCAAGTCAATTCTTACAAAAATAATAATCTTGTCAAGTAAATTTCAATTTTGTGTTTTCTATTATTTTCAGGATTGTTTCAGGTGTGGAGGAATTGAAATTCGTGGACTTCATGCTAGACCGATTTCGCGTCGCAAAGCGACTCTCGAGCCGGTCCTGGAAACAAATATATTCATCCCTAATGATTTTAGCACGGATTTGAGTCAATCAATCCGGATTAACACRCAAATCATCCTCGAGGAATCYCACGAAAAAAATTTTAAAGCGTTAGAAATCCACGACGAATTTTCTTTTGATTCATTTGTGATGCCTTTGGTGTTCAATACCCTTGAAGATGTCCCTTTGGTGCAACCAAATTTGGTTATTTCGACCAAAAAAGAGATRGAGGAAATCCCCGGTGTGAAAATCGAGGCTAACACACTTTCCCCTTCGAGTAATTTTCTCCTAATTGTTGGGTCAAAATTATTCCAAAGAGCGACTGTTCTTAATCAAGTTTTGGGTGCTTTGAGTCCCAATGGGTTTGTTTTGAGTCGCGAAAATTTGGACTACGTGGTGGAAAATTCCG